GAGAATATCAGAAAGATCACAATTCATTTAGCATTAGAAATAACAAACATCAGAGATGACATATTGAAGAAATCACATATATTTCATTCATTGGACTGATAATTTACATTGTACACAAAACCATGAATTGTTCAAGAAACAATGTACATTTTGAACTACAATTCAATTCAACTACAATGCCATAAAACAGATATAGCTCTTTCCTCTAATCAAAGCACACCCTCCGTTCACTACTACGAAAACACTTTTTGCATGCAGGCGAGAAGGATCTTTGCATGCGGTTGCACCAACCGCATGGGCGAGAAGGTCCGCAAAAATCACGCTTTTCACATGCGGCCGGCGCAACCGCATGCGGTCGCTTATATCGGTCGCATGCGAAAATAAATTCAGTAAACAAAAAAACCCGAACCCTAGCCCGCTGCAGGAGCGCTGTATCCCCGCCACACGCCGTCGCCAGCGCCGGATCCGTCGCCCCCGCCGCCCGCCGTCGTCGCCGTCACTGGATCCGTCGTCCACGCCGCTCGCCGTCATCACCGTCACCGAATCGGCCGCCCCTGCCGCCTGTTGTCCACGCCGGCGCTGGATCGGCTACCCTACCGCTCGTCGTCGACGCCGACCACCGGCACCACCGTTCGTGCGAGGGAGGAGCGCCCTTGGCGCCGGATCCGCGTGGAGCGCCGCCACTCGAGGCGGCCGAACCACCCCCGCCGCAGCGGTGGTGAGGAGGGGGAGGGTCGCCTCGTTGTCATCGACGGCGGCGGCGGTGAGGAGGGGATGGCAGTGGTGCTGCCGCCTGCGTCACCGCCCACTAGCCGGATCAATCCGCCACCCCCACCGCGCGCCCGCCGTTTCCTTAGCCGCAGCCTCTCCTTAGGGCGGCGGATCCGGCCCTCCCGAGTGCGGCGCCGCCGGATCCGCCGCCCGTCGAGGCCATCGCCGCCCCTGCTCACGGCCGCCGGCGCACGCTCTCGGAGAGGGAGAGGACAGACCTGTGGAGAGAAAGAGAGAGAGGGGAGAGTAAAATTAAATAATAGAGGGGGAGAGAAAGAGGAGATGGGTTGGAAAAAAATTGAAGTGGTGGGAGGGAAAAGAGAATGGAGGGAGATGAAAAAAATTGGGGTGACATTTTTGCATACGGAACACTTAAGAGGTCCACATGCAAAAATCTATGGTCCGCGTGCAAAAATATGAGAAATTCGAATCGAATTTTATGGTACTAAATCAACTCATGTGAAAAAGTTGTCAAAAACAAAGTTGTAGAAATCTTTAAGATCTACCATTTCTCTTTTGTTTATTTCTTCATCCGAGTTTGATTGAACTATCTAAAATTTGAGTTTTAAAATATAAGAAATTCAAATAATTTTTCGGGTAGTAAATAATTTCAAATGAAAAAGTCATCAACAACAAAGTTGTATAACTCATGCAGATCTATGTTCTGGTCATTTTTCCTATATGACTTTGCTTCAACAATTTGAATTTGAATTTCAAATTATGACAACTTCAAACAATATTTTGAAATACTACATGATTTCAGCTCAAAAAGCCATCAATAATAAAGTTGTATAACTCATCAAGATCTATAGCTTTTATTTTGGTCATTTCTTCATCCGACAAAATAATAATAACATTGTTTACAAAATTTACATATTTCTTTTATGGTTTTATAAACTATAAGAGAGATATGTAAAGTTTGTGAAAATGTTACTATCACTTTGTCGGATGAAGAAATGACCAAAATAAAAGTTGTTGATCTTGATGAGTTTGTTGTTGATGACTTTTTCAGCTGAAATTATTTGGTGCTTCACAATATTATTTGAACTTTTGAAATTCAAATTTTTAATTGATAAAACGAAGTCACAAAAAAATGTCCATAATAATAGCATTAAGAACACAATAAAAAGATAGAGCATGATTTTAGAAACATTTAGGAAAAAGAATCATCCAATTTGGAGTTTATATGAGTGAGATAAACTAGTTTCAAATTTTCAAAATCGATTTTCCCATGCGGGCTCTTAAGTGATTCGCATGCACGTGGGGTCGGCTGCCCTGCCGCCACAAAACCAGGCGGCACAGGAGCGACAGCAGATGGCCAGGCCCCTGCCGAGCATCACCGCCACCGCGGATCGGGATGCGCGAGGCGGCCATGCCACGGCTCACCACATGGAGCGTTGCGCCGGCAGGGGCTGCTCGCCTCCGCGCCGCGCCTGAGGGCCATCCACTTTGCTCACCCCTCGAGGACCGCCTCCGTGCGTGGGGCACACCGCCTGCGCCGCCCCTTCGTCCTGACGTCCTCCCTCTCTGCTAACGCCGCCGTTGTGGACGAGGACGACGCAGTTGCATGAGACACGGTGGTGAACGCAGGCACATAGGATCAAGCACATCGAGTCCGAGCAGTATTTCCATCAACAGCTATTAACCTGTTTGCATCACATCGGTAGTATTTCCATCGGCAGCTGCTCCCAATCCATCTGCTCCCTCCCCTCTCTCTCGTCGTCCCGTGAAATGAAATCGCACCACCATCGCATCGCTTGTTCGATCTCGAGTACTCCCAAAAGCGTGAGGCGTCATTCGTCGCGTGACGCGTCAGTCGATCGATGCGACGACACCCGCAGCGAAGACGAATAGCACGTCGCTGAGGTCCTACGTGTTGACCGCCGACTCGATCTTGGCCAGCGAGGAGGCGGTGGAGCTCAGCTCGGGAGCTGCTGTCCCCGCCGAGCGAGCGCGGGGTGGCGAGCGGCGGAGCAGGGCAATGGAGGAGGCGAACGGCGGCGGGAGCTCGCGGAGGAGGCGAGGCGGCAGCCGACGCCATGCGCGACAATCAGCCCTAGCCCGCGGCCGCGCCTTCCTCCGCTTCGTCGCAGGCGCTGCCTCCGCCGCCGCCTCGCCTCGCCTCGAGCAGCGCGAGCTCCAGCTGCCGCTCGCCTCCTCCACTGCACTGCCCCGTTGCTCGCCTCCCCGCGCTCGCTGCCTCCGCCGCCGCTCGCCTCCTCCGCCGCCGCCGCCTCGCCTCCTCCGCAAGCAGCGCGAGCTCCCGCCGCCGCTCTCCTCCTCCACTGCCCTCCCCCGCCGCTCGCCTCCCCGCGCTCGTTGCCTCCACTGCCGCCTCGCCTCGCCTCGCTGCCACCGTTGCCTCCTCCGCCGCGCTCGCTGCCTCCGCCGTCGCCGACCGCCTGTCCCCGCGCCGTCCTCGCCGCGCGCGCAACGCGAGCCGTGAGAGAGAGAATAAAGAGAGAGGAAGAAGAGAAGAGTATGGCGAGCGGGTCTCACAATTTTTTATTAAAAAAATGTTGACTGGATTGCCACGTGTATGCCACGTTGGACAAAACCGCTCTAAATTGGTTCGAGGGGGGTAATTCGTCCGGTTTACATAGTTGGGGATGAAGAATATCCGGTTTTGTGGTTCAGGGGGTAATTCGAACGACCGCGATAGTTCAGGGGGTTAATTCGTACTTTTTCCTTTAGTTTATTCTTTATACTTTAAACTAGCCAACTTTATATTTGTTGCACTCAGTTTGAACCACCTAGATTCTTTTCCCTAGATATGCACATCTAGCTATGTTATCTTGTATAACTAAAATAATTTGATGGTACAATTAACTATTATGAAGTTAAAAAATGAATTTAAAATACTCCCTATAGGTTGAAGTAGAATATGTTTTGGACAAGACAATATGTCAACTTTAAAATCTTTGACTATAAATAATTTCTAAAATATTTGTGTTAGAAATATGGAGATAAATAGTCTACTTTGATAAAATCATATATCTATTGATATTTTTTAGTCTTATCTATTGATATTTTATATATATTATAATAAAAATAGTAGTCAAAGTTATTTTTTAAGAGACCATGTCCTAGTCGGTATCATCAATTTGGAGGGAGTAATATTTTAAGAATTTTATATACAGAGTGGTTTTTTTAAAAAAACAATCATAGCGCTTAAAAGCTCAAGAAACATGCCTATTACTTCCTCCATTACAAAAATATTGTAGCATAGAATAGATAGATTCGTTGTAACCTAGGGCTGTGTTTGGAGGTGGTTGTTGGGAACCCATCTCTCATGCACGGAAAACGGAGCGGTCCATTAGCACGTGATTAATTAAGTATTAGCTAATTTTTTTTAAAAAAGATGAATCAATATGATTTTTTAAACAACTTTTGTATAGAAACTTTTTGCAAAAAACGTACCGTTTAGCAGTTTGAAACGCGTGCGCACAGAAAGTGTTGGAAACTTGCTCTTGCAAACACACCCCGCAATGTTTGGAAAATGGGTTTGGGATATGATTTTCCACCCTTGAAGGGTATGTTCAAATTTTAGCCATCCATTCATCTAACCCTATTTCACCATATCCCTCCATTCATTTCCATTTCCCAATTCCACCCCTCCTAATCCATTTTCCAAACACACCTTAGGAGGTTTACATCGAAGTTGTAAAATTTAAGACAGAAGACCTAATAGTTTGATCAGATTGTGCTTGATTAAGATTGATTTTAAATATATTTTAAGCAAACAATTTTACTCATGTGAGTAAGAGAAAAAATAAGCCTATAGAGCATGTTTACTTCGCGAAATGAAAATTTTTGGATGTCACATCGGATGTTTGACCGGATATTGGATGGGGTTTTCGGACACGAATGAAAAAAACTAATTTCATAACTCGCCTGGAAACCGCGAGACGAATCTTTTGAGCCTAATTAATCCGTCATTAGTACATGTGGATTACTGTAGCACTTATGGCTAATCATAGACTAATTAGGCTCAAAAGATTCGTCTAGTGATTTCTCTTTTAACTGTGCAATTAGTTTTTCTTTTAATCTATATTTAATACTTTTTATATATGTCCAAAGATTCAATGTGATGTTGTTGGAAATACTTTTAGGGACTAGACGGGGGCCATAATTCAGCGCTCAAGTGCGAGCGTAACATCGTGCAGCCGAAGTGCTAGAGCACCGGAGACGCATTTAATCCACCATCAATATCTATTTTTCGGTGGTAGATTTGACAGATCGATCCCTCGAACCTTCGCTAAGCTAATTCCGCGCCTACTCCACCCGTCACGTGCCTCCGAAGCAAGCAACGGCTCGTTTCGTTTCCTCTCGCGCTCGCCCCCAAAACCCTCGAGATCTCTGCCCTCACTCGCGCAAACCTCCTCCTCCTCCGAAGCTTCGATCCCGACACGCCTCCGCCGCCGCCGCCCGCCGGAGGCGAGCCCGAGATGCGGCCCAACGTCATCACGGAGGTGCGAATTTCTCCCGGTTCCCCACCCCCCAAATTTCCAGTTCCTGCGCGGTTCTCCCCGCGTCCCATCTCCGGATCTGGGCGCCGCTAGCCTCAAATCGCTAGGGAATTCGTTGGTTCGAAGCACTCGTGATGTTGTGGAGAGGGGGACCCCGGGGGATCTAGGTCTTCCGGTGAGAGCTTAGGAGCCCCGCGCCACCATGGTGGTGGTGGTGGGGTAGCGTGGGGGGCTTGGTGTTGTTTTTATGCTGTTAGGGTTTGCGAGGTGCGTGGCGGTTTGAATTGAGCTAGGAATGGGGCGCTTTACATGTTCTGGATGAAATTATGCTGTGGCTTTGTGAGGAGGATTGTTTTCCCTGGGTTTGCTATGCTTGTTTATTAGCTGCAAGGTTTATAGGAAATTGATGGGGTAGCTCTTGGAGCAGGGGCTCTGCAGTACGTATTTGATGGAGATGACATTGGTAAATGTGATGGCTTATAATGTGGTTTATGTTTGTTATTGTGAAATGTGATGCAGGCTGGGATTTCAACTAGGTTGAATCAGTGGTGGGGCAGCATACCATTCATTACATCCGGTGTTATCTTGATATGTGGAGCGATTTATCTGGTGTGCTTGTTGACTGGCTATGACTCCTTTGCCGAGATATGCTTCTTGCCTTCTGTAGTAGCATCACGCTTTCAAGGTCTGTCTCATGCTTACCTTTCCGTTTCTTTTGCAGAGCATAAATCAGGATTGCTTTTATGACACTGAATATCAATTTTGTTCTGAGAGATGAATATATACTTTATGAGCATTCATATTTTGTTAGTGCTCATATGGTTTAATTGTACTGTGGCAAGTCTGAAAAGTGTGAAAGTCAAAATCACACCCATGGATTTAATATGAGAAAACAATCTGTTACATGACATGAATTCATTTTCCATTTATATGCTCTTCTGTAAATATTACCTTATAAAATGTTCGGGAGCACTTAAAAGAACAAAAGAAGACTACAATAGAATTGCCCCTCTTAAAAAAATATGAATACTAAAGAACCTCCAGATTGTGCATTTCTCAATTCAAAATGTCTGATGTGCATGTTCTATATCTTTAGCTTCTTTCTTCCCACCTGTGAATACTATCTCATATTTTTGTTTTTCTTTGGGATATCTAGAACTAATATAGTTTGTATCTACTTCAGTGTACAGGTTCTATACATCTGTTGTATTTCATGGTTCTTTGCTTCATGTGCTATTCAACATGCTGGCCTTGGTACCCTTGGGCACTGAGTTGGAAAGAATTATGGGATCAGTCCGTCTCTTGTTCTTGATGTTTCTTCTTGCTACGACTAATGCGATTTTTCATCTCATCATTGCTTTCTTGGCGGCTTACAATCCGCTCTATCCTCTCCACTTTCTTGTGGATGAATGCTCCATTGGCTTTTCTGGAGTTATATTCTCAATGATTGTCATTGAGACAAGCCTGAGTGGGGTGCAAACTCGAAGGTGCATTGCTTCTTGATGCTAATTGTACATTTTACTCATTTTGATGAATGATTATTCATATGATATTTGATACTTCATTTTATGTAAATTTGGAGGGAACGAGTATACACCTCTATGTTGAAAATGCTTGCATTTCATAACGTTTTTATTCATGCATAAAATAAATGTTTAACCTGTTTTCCGAAGTGTTGAAATTTGATAACATGTTGTATGATAATGTCGTAGCACTATTTGGCTAGTTTAGACATGCATATGCTTAGTTCAGCATTGTATTTAGCAACGTCTGTTGCTTTTTTATTTGCCAGCTGTGACTAAGCCAGGAGAATTACTCTGTTACAAGGGACATATCTACTGCTAACTCATATATTAGATCATTAGATGGAATTATGCATTCACCAACATGAACTGTTTGGCAAGGGATAGATGGATCACATCTTATGGGTTTAGTTAGAGAAGATGGGAACACAAACATACAATTTTGTACATTGGGGATTTGGATGGTTTATTCATAAAAATGCTCATTTGAGTCTCTGATATCCATAAACCTGATCATGACTGCACTCAAATGCGAATTTGCACTATTATTTCGAGCAAATCCTTCTCTTGTCTTTTCTCACCATTGATACAATGGCAAGAACCTTTTTTTTTTTTAAAAAAAAACTAGTATCTAGGAAGGTTTAATTCAGAATTTCTGGAAGTTTAGAAAGAATTTATCCTTTTTCCTACTTGTATGTCCATTAATGGTCTTTATTGTTTTTTCAACTTACTGAAAGTTATTAGTTCTTTCTATTTTTATACAATGACATTTTTCCTTGATGTCTTATTCACAGTGTCTTTGGCCTCTTCAATGTTCCTGCAAATTGGTAATCGCTCTATGCATCTATTTTTGTTCTCAATTTCTTATTTATTGGATAGTCTTACAAAGAAATGTTTCAAATGTGCACAATATCAGGTATGCGTGGATTTTGCTGGTTCTCTTTCAGTTTCTGGCAAGCAATGTTTCGTTGCTGGGCCACCTGTGTGGCATCTTGTCAGGGTTTGCATGTTTGTCCCTTTTACCCATTATTTATGAAGCCTTAATGAACTGCATTAGTTATTATCATATTCCTTGCTAATCATTATTGTTATTTCCATCAGATACTTATGGGCTGTTCAACTACTTGCTTCCTGGACCATCATTTTATTCTTCTATTGAGGGCTTGTCAGTGCTAGTAAGTTTTGAACAATGATTTAAGTTGTCTTGTTATGTCATTGTTCATGTAACTTAGGGAGATGCTTCTTCTATGATGCTTATTCTCTTGAGATATTGGATATCAGTCTGTTTGTGTAAGGCGTCCTGGCTTCATTCTGTGTACTGGAGGGACTACATATGGCCAGCTTCCTACATTTTCTAACACATCTACTGCACCAAGGTATTTTAGATATTATTTCCATATTGATATTGATTTCAATTTATTCATAGGACTAATGTATTAAATCCTTGATTTGCAGCGCTCTGATTAATGCAAATTTCTTAAGAAATATTTCTTCATGGATACCAAGCAGGCAGACAACCACCACTCAGGGGAATACTCAGGTGAATATAAAGAAATCATGGATGCCTTTTATTGTTTTACTGTACTCATCTTTGCAAGTATAAATTTTCTGTTGATGTACTGATGACATGGGCAGAGGACAAAAAATGTAGCAGTAATTGATTTTGTTGTGAATTTTGTACAACATGATTCAGATGTGTATTCCTTTTTGATAGAAACACTAGTTACAGTTGTTAGTACATGGATTCTTAAAAGATGATTTCAAAGGTTATAGTTGTATACTAGTAGCTCTGTTCCTACTTTCATAGACTGCATTTTGGTTCTCGATCAATTATGTTTTTTGAAACCTCTATCCTGGTTTTTCGGGTAGTTGACTTTATCCCCTTTATGATAGTTCAATTCAAGTTTATAGCAGTTCTCTTTTGTTTTGTTTGTGCACACTGGGGTGATGCTCTTCCAAGAAAATATATGTGCCTAAGCTCACTGGATTGTTTGTTTTCATTTGCTCAATACTTTGCATGGATCTGAACATTATATCCCAGAAATATGTGTTGAGATGAACACCATACTGAATATTCTCTTATAGGAACAAGATCCCAGGTTTCCAGGGAGAGCACGGACACTTAGTTCTGCTGGAACTGAACCAACTGCAAGGGAGGCAAGTGCAAATTTGCATGCTAGCTTGTTGGATAGCACAACTCCAAGTGATCCGCTTACGAGTTCACAGTAATGCATTTTCTACTTGGCATTTCTTTAATACGGTAGACATCTGGTGAATATCACCTATGCATTGGAACCAGAAGCTCATATGAAGCCTGAATAACTTGAATATACAAAACGATCTTTTCTAAAACAGTACTTAATAGTTTAAATAAATAATTGGTTTGGTCATTGGTACTCCATAGCATTTTGTTGGAGCACCTTCTGTTGTGTTCTTTTTCTATATCAGACTAAACATTTTGTTAGCTCTAATTAGCATTTACCAAGTTCTGTTTCTTTAGTCAGTTTGAATGTTTGCATTATGCAATTAGCACTATTCGTCCCAGTAATAAGTCCCTGTTCAATTAGTTAGTAAAATGATATGTTTTGCAAAGGTAAGCTCAAAGTTTTGAAATTCCGCACTACACAGGTGAGAACTGAGCAGTGCTCAAGTGATCCTTGCTTGGCTAGTGCACCACCTCAAGTTCTGCTCAATGGAAGCTACCCAAATTGAGCTTGGTTCAGATGCATTCATGGTTGATTTATCATTAATAGGCTAATCTTGCTATACGAAATTGTAATTCTTGAAATAGTGTACTTAAAATCAAACTCCATAAATCTCGCCGCAAACTTGCAGTATCCAAAGAAGAGTATGATATAAAAGGTGGAGATACCAAAAAAATAAGCTTATGATGACTCAAATTTGCATGCAAATGATTTCCAAGACCCCAGATCGTGCCAATTGGTACCCTCAATTCAGGATTGTTGTTAGGGCTCATAATAGGAACAGTTGGTATTCATTTCTGGTTATAATCTTTTAGAATATATTGGCTTTGATTTTGAACTCAAGGCAGACTTGGGATATGCACACTTTCCTTTTGAGTTGAGTTAATTTCGAGCATATCAAGAGAAGCGCATAAACTTTGACTTCTTGCCCACAAACATGAGTCATCTAACACAGCCTTCTTGGGATAAAAAAAAAACTTATTTTGATGCAAATAGTCACTTACAGGATTAGGGAGCTTTCTGGAATTGCAGAATTCCTGGTGCAGGATTGAATAATTAAAATGCTTTGTTTGAATTTTCTGCCAATGTTATGATCAAAGAACATATCAAGTATTTCTCAAATAATGCAAAATAAAAAAGAGAAGTACTGAGACACTTCATAAAACAAGGCTTGTCAGGTAAAAAAAAAAATCGACACTTGATTTTTTTTGGCTAGAATTGGGTAATCTGGTGGGAACCAGCTGGTTCCTGCTGGTTATTCTAGCTTTCACAGGATAGGTTTTTTGTTGTTGTTCAGCAATTATATATGTTGTCCTAGTGCCTATAAGCGTTCATCTCATTTGATAGCTACAACTAATATTGTCAGTTTTATCCAGTTAGTGATTTATGCCTTCTAAAATGATTAAATATTTAATGCTTATACTAATTCAATAAAATGACCCATCCCAAAAAAGAAAAGAATCGATGCAATGACGCTAATGGAGTTGGCATCCTTTTTAGTACTGCTGTAATTTCAATTTCTTCTCTGACATTTGAGATAGCTATTAACTCAGGTAATGGTTTACTTCCACAGAGTTAAAGGATATTTATAATCAGAAGTCACCCTATATACTGTTATGAGATTTATGACTTAATCCTTACCATGATATCATCTACTTGCACTTCATAAACAATGTCTCATGTTTTATGTAAGATGCCCCTGAGAAGCCAGTCACTGGCTTATGTGAACTTTCTGATAGTGATATATGAGAAATATCAAGCAAAACCATCCTTAAGATTTAAGAACTGTGACACTTCTAATACGAGAATAAACCTAGTTGTTTTGTAGTTCTTACTTCTGGTTTTCCATTACAATAGGCATCCAGCAGCAAACACAGTCAGAGCTGATGCAACTGTAGCAGCTGACCAGGTTCTGTGTTATGTACCTTTTAATGATTTAGTATTGGATGTTGATATTGATTTAATCATGATAATTGACTATCTTTTGCAGGTTGATACATTTGATGAAGAACTTAAGAAGCTGGTTGGAATGGGCTTTGAAAAGGTAATTAATGCCCTGTCCTAGGATGAGATTCTCCTAGCAATCGCCTTATTTCACTTGTGCTAGTTCACTTATCATGCCCAACTCAGCAGTTTTAGCCATGCTAAATTTGGAGCAAAGAAGTAAAACAAATGGACAATTTGTTCTCGATACTCATCTATCTGATTAAATAGTTGTCAGATTTTCAACTAATTGCGTTGATGGCCATGTCAGACTCTATTAATGTTGGGAAAATCTGAATCCTTATTGATGTAAAATCTGAATCTTAATCAGAAAAGAACAGGACCTATGTCAGACACTATTATTGTTGGGAGACTCTAGCTGAAAGTTATGTCGCATGGTTTCATAAGAGCCCACAAATTATTTCAGCTATACACTAGGTATTTGTGTTGTCCATATGGCCACAGAAAGCCTTCCACTGATGTATTGGTTACCTTGCTGCAGACTCAAGCTGAAGTTGCTCTTGCTGCTGCCGATGGAGATCCAAATGTTGCTATTGAGATTCTCATGAGTCAGCAGGTTTGTCTTGATATTTTACTAATTTATTCATTTGTTGTTTAATATGGTTCATCCTGACATTATTAAGGTTTTGTTTGTTGCTTTGTCCTTATTCCTAGGGTTAAAGGTTTCAACATCACTGATAGCAAGCGATGGAGGCTCAATTTTAGGGTGTAGATTCTGGTTAGTAAAATTCAAGAATGGACCATTCTGGGCAATTGTTTTTGCCAACATGGTTATATTGAAGATGCCCTTAATTGTGCTTCTATGAAGGTCAAAACTACAGTTAACAATGACAATAGTTGCATTGAAGGCTGTTTCTTGATGTATTAGTAAAACAGTAATTGATGCTCGGGGCGCTCATTTTGTTGGCAGATCTTCACAATTGCTATTTGGCAATATGTCTAGCTAGACAATAAAGCTTTTACAAAGGAAAAAAAAATCGGTGCATACTTACAATTGATTCATCTTGAGCCAACGGAGCAGGAGAAGGGGGGCCGTTTGGTTTGCTACCATTTTCAACCCTACTAAATTTTGGCAATGGCAAACATTGTTTCAATGGCTAAAGCACGAGCCTCCAATCTTGTTTACATATGTGCTAGAATTTGTTCAGATCGGTGATGTGCGCTAGAATCTTGTTTAGACCCCCCATATAGGTGTAAAAGTCTCAAATTGGATATGCTCCCAGGTCCCTATTATTCATACTGTGCGCTGGTTTGGAGCGCCCCAGGGACTGCTTGTCCAATGTGTTTACAATCTTCTGATATTGCAGAAGATTGAGCACCTTTTCGTTCAATGTGCTTGCAATCTTCTCAACCGTGTATGGCACCTGATGAGTGATGATGGGACTGGACGGGAGTGGTTTTTGAGCTGCCTGGCGAATCTGGGTATGGATCTTAGTGGTGGCTGCAGGGTAGGCTGCGTTTTCGGCTGAGCTACAGGAACGCTTTTGACTCGGGTTTCATGCTCGGGGTGTTTGATCAGAAGTATCGGCCGGCTGAGCGGCTCTCCTGCGACATCCGCGAAGAGGTTGGCGTCTGGAGGGAGGCAGGGTTGTTTAAAATCTGTAACGGCTGAAATGCTGTAAAGTAGAGAATCTCAGCCGAGTTTCCTGGTTTGACAGCTCTGTCGATGTTTGTAACAACACAAATTTTACCCTTCAATCTTAATAAGATTTGGCCGACCTGGCAAAAATATAGAGCACCCAAGGGCCAAATAATATACAGCATAGTCTATCCAAGTGCCAAATAATCTCATGGGCTTTTATCCAATCTAATTCACTTTAGTAGGATTCACAAGAGATTCAATCATCAGTTTGTAGATGGCTGCATGCATTTGAGAATTTTTGAACAGAAATCAAGCATATCAAATCAAATGTTTCTGGTCTGAAAATATAATACAATATTAAACTATTAAAAATAGCTTCCATAGTAAACAAATTACAAATGTTGACATCATGATCTCGAGCCATATCATTCAGTTGAAATGATACTAAACTTGACTACTAAGATTTATTGCTAAACCATGTTACATTGTGCAACGGAAAAAAAAATTGATCTACAAATTACAGGTCATTCTTTGTTCAGCACTCTTGGCACCTTGATGTATGGATCATCATAGCTTGGGACAGACTCTATTATGGCATCTCTGCGGTGATGAAAAAAAATAGTGTTCATCACATGACAATAGTCTAACGGAAGACATGGCTAGAGTTATTTGTTTACTACCTGTTAGTAAATGTTTCAGGCCTGTCTTCTCTCAATGAATTACCTGCCGCAGTACCTGTGGACAAGACAGTCAAGCGCAAAGCAGGTAACAGTAACACACTGCAGTGGTAGGACGACATAACTAATGGAAACAATATGTAGTAGGACATTTGTGCAAAGATGCAATGTAGTGAAGAGTAAGTCTATACAGTAATTTTCTTGAAAGCAAACCAAATATGTGTATGAAAGCATTGAAATACTGAACTAAAGTTAATTAATGAAGAACGCCAATAGAACACTCAGAACTCAGAAGACTCGCTGTCTTGTTTTGTTGCATATCATAACTCAAAATTCATTTTTCAAACCATAAGTAATTGGTTGTGTTATCCCTCTTATTTGGTTCTTTGATTTCAGGTGTGTAGCATGTAGCATAATTCAAGTAAAATGACAGGGATTAAAATGCAAACCATGCGTGCGGTCAAATGCAGCACTAAAAAGTGAAGCATGCATAAACACGTCAAGATTCCAAAACCATATGTATAAAAAAAAACATTAGTTAGTTGCATTGCTCAGTTATGAAATAACTCTACTCTGATAGTCAAATCAAGAAAGATAGTGTATCACGACCTAGACGATTGCACAAAACTGAACTGTATCAAGAATGAAGCAAATGGCTAACTGCCAGTTGAACTACAAACCTCTACTTTGTAATAGGCTAATAGCTAACTGAGTTACTCTGAGTCATTTTACCAAATCATATGATAGGACCAAACAAGCAATAGTTCAAGATGATATGCAAAGATCAGGACGAATACCAGCTCTAAGTGAAGGCTCAACAGATTCAAGATCGACGGCTTGAAGTTGCCCAAACCTGTAACGACAATAAAAAAGTAAGGAAAGAAGATTTATAATTGTATTAAACGCGATGCATGAACATAAGTTTACTTCTGTGCTCCAAGGTTCTTCTCAATACAAGTATAACCTCATCACAGCACATACAACACCACAAGGATTTATCACATGTCTCTCTGATCATCCCACAAACTTAAGATATAGCAACAAGAACCATCCTATTTGCCATGAACACCATATGATGTTCTAGTTACTTTGTTATGAAATAACAATCCGATGTTCTAGTAACCATCCTAGCCTAATCTGCATTACTTTGTTATTACAGACTCTTATCTGCTCCAAACTTGCGAACTTCAAAGTACTGAAAACCAAATATCTGAATTACGCATAGGGAGGAACAGAAACAAATTACCAATCCACCACCTGCCGAATCTTCGGCGCGAACTCCTCAGCCTACCAGGCGAGAGCACACACAGGCACAACAAGCAAAGCATCATCAGCCTCCGTCACAGAGAGTTTCTTCTCATCGAGAGACAAGAGAGATAGAGAAGTGTGCTGACCTCTTCCGGCGAGAGAGAGATGCGTGCCGCGTTGGCGAGGCGGGGCAGGTCCGGCGGCTCGAGAGCCCCACTCCCTGCCGCCGCCGCCGCCGCCGGGATACCGGGCGTCACGTAGGGAGGTGAGGAGGAGAGGGAACGCCGCCGCAGCAGCAACCATTGGTTCCTCGCAGACTGGTTCCGCGGCGGCGCGGCCCAGCGGAGCCTCGGGATGGCCGAGGCGGCGGCGGAGAGCATGGCCGTCGTCCGCGGCTACCTCCGGCGAAGGATTCGAGGAACAGACTCCGGCGGCGGCGGCGGCTTCTGGGTCTCTCGGATTTGGGCCGGGGAGGATTATCCACTGCTACTATCCTGCCCTTCCATCTGCACCGTCAGATCTTGTATCTACGGCTGAGATTGGGGATGCGCAACATTCGCACTCCAAAACCATAGGAGAAGCAACATTTGTTCATTTACTCCCATCCCCGGCACAGGAATCCCTTCAAAATTGGTTAGTGCCCCCCAAAGGCATTTCTAGAACGAGAAGTAGGGGCATGTTTGGAACAGCTTCAGCTCCAACTCTATCTTTTCTGGAGCTGGAGCTCAGCCAAACAGTTTCAGCTTCACCTAAAATAGGAGCGAAGCTAGGTGGAGCTCTCTCACAAAATAAACTAGAGTGGTGGAGCTGGGTTTAGATAGCTCCACAACTCTACTTCAGACCTAACTCCATCCGACTCACGTATGACTGTGTCGAACCAACCAATCACGAAGTTCATTGTCATTCAAGTGGGCCCAGTTGAAAACAAATTTGTACGTGTGCAGGTCGGAGTCATACATATAGTAATTATGTTCTAGAACTCATAAAATGCACAAAAATTCTAAGGAGATTTTGAAGAATCAAAATGGATGCATGAAGAGTTGACAACGAAGGAAAGGTTCATATTTGCTGGAAAGTCCGGGCTAGTCTAGTATTTTTATGTTGTGGGTTGGAAATTCTGGATATTGAGAGTTAATTTTGAATCTCCAAATTGAAAGCTTGGCTATGTTTGAAAGCTAGTTTAAATTTTGCTTCTTTTTTTTGCCGCATATGAAACGAGAAATGACATTACCGATTAGTTAAGTATTAACTATTATAAACTTAAAAAAATAAGTTTGTTTAATTTTCTAAAAGAAACTTCCATATAAAAAATATTTACAAAAAAGAACGTACATTTAGCAATTTCAAAAGCATATTCATGGTAATCGAGGGGATTGTAAAACTAAATAAATAAGGTTTCAATCACAGCCTAAATTAAAACTGTAAGGAGGAAAATGTAAGATGGAATTTCAGTAGTTAACAATTTGGAATTAATAACTTGGTTCAATCAACAAAGGCTGTGTTTAGATCCAAAATTTGGATCCAAACTTCAGTACTTTTCCATCACATCAACCTGTCATACACACACAACTTTTCAGTCACATCATCTTCAATTTTAACCAAAATCCAAACTTTGGATCTAACTAAACACAGCCAAAGTATTGAGTATACCACAGCTTAAAGTTTGAACTTAAAAATTTGGAATTCATTTCTTTTAGTGTTTAAGTAGGCAAGTAGGGAGCATATCAATTCCCACTTCTAAAGCAATGTTCAAAACAAAGGAGTGGCCATACTTAATCTGTTTCTACCTTTATGTCAAAGTAGCCATGATGACCATCAGTAGTTTAATGGCCTAGATCACTATATGTGCCATCATTTGGCTATTAGCTCATTTTTTTAAAACAAAATTATATGAACATCGCCTACATTTAAGGGTCGGCTGTATCTAGAATAAATTACAACATGACTTTTTTATGCAAGGAAAAATCATTAGGATGAAGTCCTACTTGTAATATAAAACATATGCTTTTATTGTTTATGAATTAGGGTTAAGTATCTACAGACATCTTAATTTTCATAATTAACATCGATAACATGAGCTCCTTGAATGAATTGTACTATGTCATTTGAAGCTCTCAGCTCGTAGATATGGTACTGTCTTCAATCGCTTTTGAACTGTCAAAAAGTTTTAACTTTTTCGTCAAAGTAACTTGCATGCATGTGTTTCCTCGAATTCCAAATGTAGAAGAACTTCTTAATTACCTTTCGTCTTTCCTCCCCGTTTGTGATTGCTAACCAGTCCTCCTATATGTTAACTCAAACAAATGATTCATCTTTTTTTACTGCAATATACATGAAGAAAAATAAAATCATTCGAGTTTTTTTTTGTTGTAGTATAGAAATACTATGTAAAAACAACTTATATTATAATTAGGATCAGAGAAAATATCTTATACTTTTATGGGTCTTTGCGAGGTCAACAAAGCTTTCGTCGTGCAAGCTAATTGAGTAACGAAACACTTTCTGAATGAAAATAATTGCTGGTAATGATGACTATTTACAAGTAAAAAATGCTCCTCGAAGTGGAACTGTGGAAGAAATGTTTTAAGTAGTACTTCCTCCGTTTATAATATAAAACGGAGCGAGAAACTGAAAAGGCACTAGATTTTTCTCAGCTATTTCAGATTATTAGTGTGGATTATTTGTTTCACATCTCTATATATATATATATATATATATATATATATATATATATATATATATATATATATATATATATATATATATATATATATATATATATAAACTACTTTTGGTGTGTGTATTGCATTCTTTAACAATGAAAAACAACACGTTGTCCTCTCATATACGTCACGTAGTTCATGTAGCCGACGGATGCTCGATAGTAACACACGTGAGCCGCCGGTAGTGCCATGCGCACCAACTGGTTTCAGACTGCGCCATGAAGAAAAGTGGTCGAAGCCGTCCAATATAATCTTTACCAACCAACCAACTATACTAGCAGTAGTACTTCGTAGTAATTAACCACGATAACTTTGTTGGCCACTAACAAAGGAAGTGCCATCCTGAGAGTCGTGACGGCAGCAGCCAGGTGGGCCCAGGTTTCCCCTAATCCGTCCAGAGTGCTCCTTCGCCTCTCAATAAAAAAAAGCCCTAGCTACTCTCTACTCCGATCCCCCGCTCCTGCAGCTGCCTGTAAACCAGCGTCTCATCTTTCAGCTAATGCTTATCAGCTAAATTTAAATTATTTTATTTTTAAATTTACAGTTGATTTTAAGACTTTTTATGGTAGTTTATTTTTCAGCTTTTATTTTTAGATCTTCAAGAACACGTATAGCATGTATAGTGGTATCTAATAATGGACTCTATTCGTTATCATGTAATTAAATTTGGTGACGTGAAAAAAGAGAGGAAAGGAAGAAAAAACAACAACAGATTAGAACCGATTCTTAGCATTTATTATCGGAGAATTTATTGTATGAGTGTGGAGAAAATGAAAGAAGTATTAAAAAAAATTATTTAGCGTACTAATGATTTAGAAATCTTATTGTCTTTACTATTGTAGGAGAATAGTATCTAGTGATATTAATTAATATAAATAGCTCATATTAAACTCTACTTTTCTACGTGCCCTATAAGTTTTATTGATAAATTATTTTTTTGTTTTGCAAATATACCATGAAACGAAGGGCCTGCAGCATTCCGTATTTCCGTTCAAACTGTGAAGAGGAGGAGGACAAAACGGAAAGGCCCAGCTCAGCCAAGCACGCAGACGCAACGGCAACGGGAAAGAGAAACAAAAAGTGGAAAATGGCCGACGCTGCCGTGTGGGCCCCACGTCCAGGTGGGGGCCCTATTTATTCCGAGCCCGATCCATCACCCAGACGACACCCACCGCGCAAGGAAACGAAGCGCGGTTTCCGTAGCGCCGCCGCCGCCTTCGCCGCCGCGGGCACCACTCCCATTAAGACCGGATCAGCTCTCTCTCTCTCTCTCTCTCTCTCTCTCTCTGTCCGTTGCGCTCGTCTCCTCCTCTCGCCGCGCCGCCGCCCCCCGCCCCCACGATCGACGACTCGCCGCGCCGCCGCCGCCGCCGCCGCCAACGCATGCAGGTAGTGATCCTGATCCCTCGCCGCCGGAAAGCGGCAACAGTTTCTCCTTGTTCCGTCCGCGTGTGCTTCTTCCCGCCGCGCGCCGCGCGCCATTTGCTCTTTCGATCGGCGGGCGGTTGTTAATTTTGTGGGTTGATGGGGGTGTAGATCATCAGGACGAAATTTGCCTTCTCCAACTCTGCTGCTAGAGCGCTTCATTCGGGAGAGGGCACAACGCGGATCGAATGCGCACTTCCACATTTATTTCCTTTTCTCTTTGTTATTACCAAAAACATTTTTCTTCTTCTTCATTCTTTTATTTTTTTTGGTTCCTGGTAGTTCGATTCATGCCGGAATAGATTCCGTTGGTCACTGTCCAATGTCCATGTCCCCTGTTCCTAATTCCTTTGTGAGCCTTTTCTTTTTCATCTGACGTGTGAGTTGAGTTGTCAGTCGTGTTTACACTAATCCATTGCATTTGTCCATGTAAAGCAGATGATTTGCTTTTCCTGGGTGAGTTATGAGTCACATGCAATTGCTTCTTAACCTGCACAACCTCTAAATTAAGCCAAAAGGCCTAGTCATGTTATCCAGATTACTTGTACTGGCCATCTAAAAAAAGGATTACTGTTGTTGTTTGTTCTTCAAGCGATTGATACTGACTTCGTGTCATATTAGGACATCCAGATCAGTTAAATGGATGGTTTTCTACGTCAGGTATTACAAAGTCAGCTCTCATCTTATTGTCTAACCACATACCTTATTGTTTTGAATGAAGTCTTAACACATATTATGATTCTAACTTGATCCATTAGTGATATGTGCTTTTTGGAAGATTCTAAATATGTGGTCTCTGTTTTCCTTGAAAGGAACTACTTTCAACATACGTGGTCATGTAATAATGGAATGTATTCCTAGAAGTCAGTACAAGTGTGCAATCCGTTCAAATCATTGTCTGCTACTTTTCTCAGCGTGTTGTCGTCTTATCCTATTCCAACGAGGGGCAACTCCTATCTGTTTTTGGTGGGCTTGTGGCCAGCTGGGTTGATAAACATTGCCACATGTTCAAGTTTTTGTTCAGTGCTGAGCGCAAGCAACAAACCAAAATGGGGGGAACAGTAGTTTCTTGTTTTGTTTTCTTTAAGTTGAACTAATATTTTTTTTAAAAAAAAGACACAGCTAATGGCTTATGTATGATATTAGTTTTTTTTAGGATCATAAGTTTTGCACCTTTTATGGTCCATATTTACCATCTTATTAATTTTTAACCATTGTAATTGTGCGATATACCTGCTATGTCAAGTAAGCTTTTGTTATGTACTAAAACTATCTGTCTGATTTAATGCATGCAAGCCTAATTTTGTTCCTTGCTACAAGTTATGATATTTTTTAGGGTGGTTCATCGCTACAAGCTATTCCTGAAGAAAGTGTCTTTACTTTTTAAAATTTCTTATTGTGCAAGTATAGAACTCACTGGGAGTTGTAATACCTCACGGCATGATTACTGTGTTGGAAAAGAGTACAGCTGAAACACTCTTTCTTTTTTTTTTTATCAGGGGATGATATTGTAGGTAACTATATTTTGATGTGGTACAATGCAACTTCACATGGTCTCAGCTAGTTTTCAGCTTTTTCTGTAGGCAAGATGAAGTTCGGTGCAATATATGAAGAGTATCTTCGGGAACAGCAAGACAAATACCTAACAAAGTGCTCACATGTGGAGTACAAACGTCTCAAAAAGGTACTGAAGAAATGTCGAGTTGGTCGCTCATTGCAAGAAGACTGCCCCAATGGTGACCAGCAGGAGGGGAACAACGAATCTCCAGATATTTGCAAATGCAATTCATGCACATGTATGTTCAACTTCCTGCTTTCATCTAATAGCATGACAGAGTACCAATTTTCTATTTTCTTTCTTCGATTACTCCAACCTGTGTTTTTTACATAGAACTCAGAGATTTGTGAGGAACTAAATATATCTTGTTATAATTTACTGGGAATTGTGTATAGATTACATTCACGATGGGTTTTAAAACAGTGCAGTTTCTGTTTATGATGATTTATCTTACTAGTAGTAATATGGCCTGCAATGCACCCAAAATTATACCAACTGATTCTTCCCTTTGGTAAAAGTATAAGGACTCTAATTTCATTTCATACAATCTAATTCTCTGCCTCAAAGATTACATATAATAGCTCGGAAGGTTAGGTAGCTCAGGTTGTCTATTTGATAAATAGCTGTGAAGAATTATATGTCCTATCAGATTACATGATTTTGCAACAAAACTTGTACTACTTATCTTGAATATTTGGCTAAATCATTTCTTTCATGTGATGTGTTGGCTATCACCTTTCTTGTCTTCCACTTAATCTACTATCTGTGCTTTTCAGATCCTGACTTCCAATATTTTCTTGTTCAGTGTGTGATCAAATGTTCTTTACAGAACTTACTAAGGAGGCTTCAGAAATAGCTGGCTGTTTCAGCTCTAGAGTACAACGTCTCCTAAATCTTCATGTCCCTTCAGGATTTCTACGCTATATTTGGCGTGTAAGGCAATGTTTCATAGATGATCAACAAATCATGGTTCAAGAAGGCAGAATGTTACTTAATTATGTAACCATGAATGCTATCGCTATCCGTAAAATTCTGAAGAAGTATGACAAAGTAAGTGTTCGTCTTCTAGTAGGCATCATACATGCTCACTGTTAAAGGTGATTGTGCTAATAAGTGGATGATTTTGCAGATACATGGTTCTGTCAGTGGTAGAGATTTCAAGAGCAAGATGCAAACTGATCATATTGAACTGTTGCAGTCCCCTTGGCTGATAGAACTGGGTGCTTTCCATCTAAACTGCAATAGTTCAGATATTGATGAAACTGTGGGGTTCCTTAAGAATGAGTTCTTCAAGAATTTTTCCTGTGATTTGACCGAAGCACGACCACTAATGACTATGGCTATTTCTGAAACTATGAAGTATGAGTACAGCCTAACTTGTCCAATTTGCTTGGTGAGAAACTGTTCTTAAATTTATGTTTTCTTCTAAATATCTTTAAGTGTTGTGCCTTCTTACTAAGTAAAAAGATGACGATAGCTAATTTATTGGCTTTTTGTAACAAACATTATAAGCAGTGACGTTCAGCCTTCACCAGCAATACATAGTTCTTGATGAATAGTTTTTGGCTGCTGCAGTCGTCAAGTGCACTTGGATGTTGCCATGACTTCTACAGCCAGTTGATACAAACAATCAGTTCTGTTGCACAAATTTTCTGTAGTATAGCATGGTATTCGTATTTAAATTTTTTTTAAAAAAAACTGACACATTATTTAGTAAAGTTTGAAGTGGGTAAGGCAATTATTTAGTAAGTTAGCTGCAGCTACCGAAAAGGAGGTAGGTTGACCTGGAGAAAATGTGGGTGAGGAAGTTTGCGGAGAATGAAACTCACCCAAATATTGCAATCCCTTGCTGATTGTATCTGCCGGATGGTGAGTCTTTGGTAGAATGTACGAACTACTAAACTTAAGATTTCGTCATGTGCCCAGGATACTTTGTTCAACCCATATGCACTTAGCTGTGGCCATCTCTTTTGCAAAGGCTGTGCTTGTGGAGCTGCTTCTGTGTACATCTTTCAAGGTGTTAAGTCTGCACCTCCTGAGGCGAAGTGTCCTGTATGCCGATCGGTACGTATGCATCGTGTATATATTTTTTCTATATGTTACAAAGCTTCATCTGTTGCTGTGAATTTTATAATATTTATTTTTATCGTCCACCCTCTCCTATTCTTTCATGCCAACATTGCAACAGTATCCGTAGAAACTCTCAGCTTTCAACCATTGTTTTATGCTTGAACTTGCTGCTAAGTAATGCAACTACCATACAGACCAGAATATGATTTATCCATTGCATTACTTCAGACTTCCATGTTAATGGTTTGTATTTACTGCTCTCAGGATGGTGTCTTTGCTCATGCTGTGCATATGACTGAACTTGACTTGCTCATCAAAACAAGGTATTGGAAGTTAATTTCTCTTATGCAAGAAATAAATATAAAAAGATACTAGTATCTCTTTTTCATGATCTAATTTGAATCTGCATGTTGATCAGGAGCAAGGATTACTGGAGACAGAGACTGCGAGAAGAGCGGAATGAGATGGTTAAGCAATCCAAAGAATACTGGGACTCTCAGGCTATGCTGTCAATGGGAATTTGACTGAGATCTGAAGTTACAATGATCGCCATTCATTGCTTGCATTGGTGTCAAACCAAAAATAATCAGGTCGACCATAATCTCAAGCGTGGAGATCATCCAAGATGATTTTAACTTATTAACTGCCAGTCTCCTAAAAGTTGCAATCAGTGAGGACTACCTTGGGATAGCACAGGCTAACACAGCTGAGGTTATTTTATTTTAGCTCTTGAAGAAGCAATTCCATTCCATTATTTTTTGTCCTAATGTTGTCGCCTGATATAGTTTAATTTGGAAATGCAACCATATTTAATTAATTTTCTTTGGACCTTCAAATGTAGTTTGGAACAATTTATACGCAATTTATCTGTTCTTTGCTTTGTAAAAACGAGTGTAGAAATGTCTTATTTGAATGTCTCTGGCTCGCTGCTGATATCCCAGGTGCCGTTTCTGAAAGTTTTATGCTTCATCTCCACAGTAAAAGGACCTGCCTGTTTTGAATGCATAGTAAATTCTTTAAAAAATGTCAGTGGATGGTTCGTTTATAAATTCAAGTAATTCCAGACGAAAACTACCGCAACTTTGAAATCCCTACCATATTTCCGTGTTACAAATGGCAACACAATTATTCACCGCAGCAAAAGGCATTGAATACAACAGAAATAGTTATGAAATTTAATCAAACTGATCAGAAATGATAGCCTAAAGAGCAAAACGGAACATTTAAACTGGTAAGGACAATTGTGCAGCTAGAATACTAGATTCCTCAATATTCTCTCAATCTGGAAGGAAAGAAATCAATCAACCACCAGTCTCCAACCACCATGTATTACACGCACACTGTACATGCATTTAGCTTTTGCCGGTGAGAAATAAGCAAAAGCGTCCCCCAAAACAGCACGAACAAATCACAGGATTAAAGCAATAACCTTCCGCATTTCCTGTGCTGGTGACTGACAAAGCGAAAAACATCGGTAAAAGAATCAAGGAAACACTTGCTCCACCCAACCTTTAAATAAAGAATGCCATTACAAGCAAACTCCCCAACCGATGGCTATTTTTATTTACACTGAACAGCAGTTGCTCCTCCAGTAAGGTTTTTTACTTTCTTCTTGTGAGATTTTTCGGAATCCGCGTTTTTTACTTTCTTCTTGTGAGAGTTTTCTGAATCCGCGGGTACTTGTCCAGGAGTACTAGCAAGCCGACATTGTTGCCAGATAGACCAAATGTGTACCTATCAATCAAGTAGAAGAGTAGTCAATATCACCATATACTTTGTATAATGCACCAAATTCCCAAAGAAGCTTTTATGTACCTGCTTTGTGATGGGTTCCTTTTCTGAGAGCGAAATAAAGCAACAATCCACTGCAAACATGATCAGAAATAGTTAAGCAAGCAGGAAGAGGATATATACTTTATAGCCCTCGAGGACCATAGAAATGGAGTTCCGAAGAATAGTAACAATAAAATAAGTACTCATTATATTTATGAATGGTTAGGCAACACAAAGAGCTTATCAAAACACATTCATATAGAGGTACAGTATAGCAACGTAAAACTAAACAGAAAACAACTATAGTAAGAAGTATCCAGTCGCAAATGGATGCTACTGCCATCAGCTGCACTACAAATGCAGAGCAGGATATAGGGACACCAAAATGAGAAAAATGCTAGTTCCATGGGCAAAACATCAATGCTTCAAAGCTCCTATACTTTCTATTTTGGCTTCCTAATAATTTAAAAGTAGGAAAACAGTTGCACCCAAATACTCAAAAGTGAGCAAATAAGCAAATTAAATAAATTACCAAAAACCTAAATATGCTAGGCTGAACAGGGCCAAGTTGGGCAGGGTTCTATACCAAAAGAGAATCCTACCCACATTGAAGATAAGAGGTTCTGACACGTGGCATGAGCAGGTCGCTTTTTTTTCTGCCATGCTGTTTGGCGGGAAATATTATGCATGGATTTTATTTTCTAACTAGACATTATGATACGTCACATCAGCAACCAAACCATTTTCTCGTTATCTCAATGTAAGCAGTCCTCTCCATTACCAAACTGGCCTGGCTCTAGGAGTGTGGAGACTGAATCCTGTGGCTGGTTGCATACTTATATTGAGTTACAATATCTATTATCCAATGGCTGTAATTTATTTTGCCAAAATCAATGGTGTTGTCCAGTAAGCTTTTATCAATGACTCAGTTTCCACTGTGCAAGTTCTCATCTCAGAAGTGATTCATGGAGACCGGACACAGGAAACAATCAAAACTAGGTTACAAAGTGCTAAAAGATTCCATTGGCATTGATCTCCATCGCCAAGTTTTGTGAGACTTGAGCACCACGAAACACATAGGTTTGTATGACAAGTTGGTAACCTGACCCAACCCATACATAAGCAGCAATATGGGTTCAGTCAATGTTTTAGAAAACAGTATGTGGTTTCGTGTGGTCACCCCACCTTGTAGTGGTTATGCTGCATAATCGTCCGTTTATGTGGCTTAAGTGGTACAACGTTGGGGCACCCGTTCCTTGTATGCGGCCTTGCAGACCTTTTTTTCGAACACTGGGTTCAGTGTGGTGGTTTGGCATGTGACTGGCCTGGGCGTGAACCATGACTATGCTAATTTACTATCTTTGGGCTCATTCAATTATATCAGCTAGAACTAGGTTTTGGCATAACATAGAATAGAAATAAATTATGCAGCAATATTTCATGACAATCATTTCAATCAAACATGCCTGAACATCTGCAAAGTAAATGTAGATAGAAATTCCATAATTGCATCTCTTGATCTAACGAATGAAACTGCACGAATGCTATACACTAAATATCGCTAAAGAAACGATTATTGCTTCAATTTCAAAAGATTTCTAGCCTATCAGATGAAAGCTAAGTCTAGTAAACCGAGTTGATGATTGTATAATGCTGCAATGTTTTGCTAAGGTGATAATAGAGGCATGAAATTCATATCCACACTGATGTCCAAACAGCACAAAGAGCTTCATACCTTACACAACGCAACCATGGAGAGTCTCTTGGCAATCGCCATCTTCCTGTTTTCCCGAAACCTCTGATCTCTGAACCCATCTTGCTTTCCAGGAAAATGGTGCACAGTTGGCACCACCCCAAATCCTCCTGTGTTAGCTGGAGTAGCATCCTTGGCTAGCTGCTGTGCAATCTCCCGGAGGAGCACAAGCTGAGCCTTCTCCGAGTGCATTGCCACCAGGGCTTGCCGCATTGACTCCCGGTCTGCCTCCAGCGCCTCCAGTCTCATGTATAGCTTCTTAATGTCTGGCTCCACTTCCCCATCCTGGTAATTCTCTAAGACCCTAGCTGCTGGAGCAGTAGCACCTTGATGCACCTTGTCGATTGTGTATACCCTATCGCTGCCACTGCCGCTGCGACCACCATCACTATCGCTTCCCTCTTCCTCACTGCCATTTCTAGCAGCTGGAGACTCCGGCAACTCATCATCATCATCACTGCATTGGTTTCTTTCCTGCACAGTCCCTTCAGGCAATGCCTCGTCGACATATACGCTGTTCAATTCCTGCTCAGATGAATCCGGCAGCGGCTCGTCTGCGTAAAGTGGAGCGCCTTCCTCTTCCTCCAAGCACAGCTCAACTCCATGGTTTTTGTGGTCGTGCTCGAGGAGGTAGATCCGGCGCTCCAGATCGACGACAACGGGATCGTCCTCCTCCTCGCCCTCCTTTTGGCCATCCTCGTAGTAGTACTCCCCGTCGTAGCAGCGTAGCTCTGGGTAGTATCCGGCGCCGTCGCCATCCTCGCCCTCGAGAACGAACCCGTCGTCTAGGGCCAACTCATCGGCTTGGTCGCCCTCGGCGAGTGGGATGCCGAGGCGGAGGCACGTGTGGCGGTACTCCCGGAGCGTGGAGCGGAGGCGCGCCAGGTGGCGGGCGCGGCGGGCGAGGGCGGCGCGGAGGTGGTCGATCTCGGCGGCGTCGAGCGCCATCTTCTCGTCGGCGAAGCGGCGGAACTGGCGGAGCTCCATCTGGACCTCGGCCTTCTCCCGCTGCAGGCGCAGCATCATGGCCATGGCCTCGCTCGCGGCGCTGGCCGCCGCGAGCCGCTCCTCCTCCACCTCCGACCGCAGCGCCGCGGCCGTCTCCTGCGCCGCCGCCACCGCCTCCCGCAGCGCCGCCGCCTCCTCCTCCGCCTCCACCCGCGCCAGCACCACCGCCCCTTCCCCCTCCCCCTCCCCATCCCCCTTCTCCCCCAGCTTCCTCTTCACCGACCGCCGCCACGTCGCGACCGCGCACGGCGTCGAGCAGCACGAGCACGGGCTCGCCCCCGCCGCCGCTCCGGCCGGCGGCTGGTCGGGGTCGCAGTCGTGGTCCTCGTCCATGACGGCGCCGACTGCGCTGGGGGACGCGAGGGTCGCCGCGCGGCGGAGGAGGGGCGGTTTCCGATTTGGGGAAATCGGCGGCGATGCGTTTGGCTTTTCGTCTTCTCTTCTCTTGTGTAGGTGTGGGTCTTGGCTCGAGGCGGAGGAGACAACCAACAAATGTTTCGGTATTTCATCATTTCACTTTGCAAAAAGAAAAAAAAAAGAGAATTAAAGTTCAATACTCAATTCATCTTTTTTTTCCCCTTCTATGATCTCACCTTTTCGTGTAATCTTTTTTGGTTTATTTGATTTTCCAAAGGAATGGTAGTTATTGATAAATTGGACGAATTGGTTTGGTAAATCGAATGGATATAAGTTGGACATGAAGACAATGTCTACTTTTTTTTTCCTATTTTGATGGTGATGTTATTGATGCCACGAGATATTTTTTAAGTGCAGAGAGATAGTTGTAATATCTGAAATATATTTTTATATTTGATTTTCTCTGTAGCAAAAGGCTATGGACCATTTCACCTCTGTTAAGACTTGGAAATTGGAATGAGTCAATAACTGTCGGTTGTCAGTTGTCAATTACTATTAGTACTACTTGTGGCTGGCTGGATTATTTGGGCCAAAGGTATTTTAAATGATTATTGAGTTAAAAAAACAAACTATTTATACATCCTCATGACCATACACTAGCAAATTTGGGGCGAAAATTATAGTTTAGCTGGCCTAGTATGAAAGAATTTACATAATCTTTTTTCATAAATATAAAAGAACGTGTTAAACAATTACCATTGAGAAACCATTGTCCATATCATTTGGATCCTTGAAGTAACGACGCGATTGCTTTTTTAATTTAGTACCAATGGGATGATAAACTAGGAGAGTCAAACCGTCAAACAACATGAGCTATGATCCTCACCCCTTATCTATGGTCTCGTTTGTTAATCGCAGCACATGATTTTATTGAAGTCTCTCGTCGCTTACTTGTCTTCGCAACAATAGCCAAAACTGGAATTCAAAAACTTCATTTTAAAAATTTTAAAGTTTTTTTAAGCGTAGCTTGTGTTTACCATTGGATTCTAAATTGTTAAGAACATACTACTAGTACTAGATACTACTATACACAAATTATTTTTAAGTTGCTTCATTCTGTTGCTTTATTCTCTACATCATCTGTTTCTAAATAAGTTCAATTTTTTATGCGTCCCCATACGTTAATGAAAAAAAAAATACCCTCACTTTCTCCAAGTACTAATGCATTATGCAATTATTCTTTTATTTATCTATTCTTAATATATTTATTTTCTCTTTTATAAACTCTGATTCAATAATTATTTATAAATAAACTTATTTTGAAATAAATAAGACGAGTGGAAAAATAAACTTAGAGAGTGTAGACAAAAAGAATTTCACATCACACAGCAAGTACGCGCCGTACCATTTCAACACGGATCACTGGATCAGTAGTACCAGAACTCCTAAATCTGATAATCAATGCGTGTATCTGGTGATCTGTCAGCTCTCAATTCTTCTGGAGCTCGATCCTGTACACCGTTGAGCCCCGCACGTTGCGTAGTTATTGGGGGATTTGATTTTGCGAGAGATATTAGCAGTGAAGACGAGGCTGGTGGCGAATATTTTACCCATATCGATATATACAAATGTCATTTCGAGCTTTTAAATATCTCGTTGCAAAAAGATGTAGGAGCGGAAATATTTGAAATTAAATTTGCAGTTTGTTTGAAACTTTGGATATTTAAGTTGAAGCCAGCTTTCAGAGAACATGTTTTATTTTTGTTAGCACGTAAAAGGATTGTGTATCAATATATTAGAAGAAGCTAGTTTTTTAAAAGTATTAATCGTTTATTCTAAAATCGAGTTCGGGGACCGCCACTAAAAATCTTGGACAGTACTGGTCATTATATCCTACATTGCATGCCAACATGATTATTGATTAGTTGCATGATATGCAATAAAGAAGCAGCGATAGCTCAGAAATTCAGAATTCTAACACAAAAACGGAAAAAAACCCATGTTTGTGTTTCCTTTGCCTCGAATTTTAGGACCCGTTATATTCTTTTTAGATATACACCTAAACCGTGTATTTTAAATAACTCTGATCATCAATACTTCTTAGGAATACTTTATAATAATTTTAGTTTGTTTTAATACTCCCTCCGGTTTGAGATTAATTGACGTTACGGGTTACTCCCTCAGGTTTGAGTTTAATTGACGTTTTAGCTTTCTCCACTACTCTCTCCCTTCTATTTCTCCAGAATACCCCTCACGCATGCATGCAAACAAGAAAAAAGTAACTGCTGATTGGAGTATTAATGAGGGATATGACAGGAAATATGAATCTAATTAATATTGTCATTGGTATTTGCCATGATGTCCAAAACGTCAGTTAATCTCAAACCGGAGGGAGTACTTAATTCATCTGTTGGTGTGATCAAATAATTATCATAAACTCAATTTCATAATCCATCGGCACTTTCAAATGGGTGAGCATATAAATAATACACAAATTTGCTAGTATATCCATTTTAAATATATATACGATGTTGCTGATTTTTGCATATGACGTTTGAACATTCGTTTTACTAAAAGAAATATGCATAATTTATTTTGCTGTGACATTTTTGTTAGTTAAAGTTGTTTTAAGCGCTTTTTTTTATATATTTTTTTGGTATTTTGAAATAAGAAAATTGTTAAACGGGATATCAAAATTAACTCATATATTAGGAACGGAACAGAGTTGAGTACATTACACTTTGCGGAACGGGTAGGAGTTGAGTACAATATCTAGTATGTAATTTTACAACATTGCACATCGAACGAGCAATTGGCTATGGGGCTCTCAGTTGGACTTAATTACGGGGCTGCTATTTAGCGCATTTGGGTTCCACCGCACACTTTTCTCTAAAAACTTTCATCGATGAATTGTTTTCACATGAACACTTTCATATGTAAAAAAAAAAAGCGCTGGAAACGCAACTGTGCCAAATAACCATCCTGCTTATTACTTGCCCCCTCATTGCACTCCATTTGGTAATATTTTTCTTTAATTCTTTCTTGCAACTGGTAAAGCAGCAGTCTTGCCCTTCTTTTAATTAATAAAAGTAAAAAAAAAAAAGGTAGAAACGCCCGCTGGCTGGTCGTACATGGCGCGCGGCGCGGCATGTAATTAACCAGCACGAGAACGTCGAGAAGACACTGATTCAACACCGCGCGCCAGCGTCTATTCAATTCCTCCATGCCGCTTTCTGTACCTAGCGACGTAAAGCTGGCTGTTTACCCAGAATTTGATTAGTCCACATGGCTTCAACGAGTGCAAATAAATCGTAAAATCTAAATCGAGAGCACTCTCGATTTAGTCATAACAAGCAACCCATAACAAGCCCATCAGTATTATTCAGATATGTGCTATCTTGAAGAATCTTACTTTACTATAATGCTAATCCATTAAGTAGGGAAAATATTCATATCATTTATACTTCAAATAAAATTTCCTCTTAAATTACTCATCCGATTTACAGTCCGATTACACCGTTGTGTTCGTAACAATTAAATCTTTACAATAAGATCTCACATGATTATATTTTAATAAAAAATCACAAATTACTTTTATGATGTGTCTAAATTACTTTCAGATTTCACTAAGTTACTTCTTAAACATATAATAGTATAAATTCAGTAAAGTCTAAAAATAATTTATATATATTATAGAAGTAAATTAGAACAAAATGAAGGTAACTTTGGCATGTCATTTGAAGTAAATCCGTTGTAGAGATAAAAACATGACTCTATCTAGAAATTAAATTAGTCAGCACAAATTATGTAATTAACTAAAAACAATAATAAAAGTATAATCACCTCATAGCATTACGAATGTATAGGAAGTATTTTGAGAAAATTCCCTATCTAACATAAAAAAAAGTTGCTCTTCCCTCTATAGCACTCAAACTTCAAAAGTTCCCTATCTAGGCACTTCTAAAATTTCCCTTCCCTATATAGCACTTCCGTTAGTTTTTACACTTGATGGTGTTAACCAGCGGGAGAAAAGACGGTTTTGCCCTTCTTTAGTTTTCAGACTTGCCCGTACATTATCGTTGGTATTTTAATCGTGCTTTCTCTTGATTTAACGTAACACTGCAAATATAACATGTCGATCCACTCTTTTGAAAAAAAAATAATTATCCTCTTGTGGTTTCACTTGTCATTAATTAACTTAAGTAATTAATAACCAATATCATGTACAGGCAAGTCTGAAAACTAAAGAAGGGCAAACCCGTCTTTTCTCCTGCTATTTAACACCGTCAAGTATAAAAACTAACAGAAGTGCTACATAGGGAAGGGAAATTTTAGAAGTGCCTAGATAGGGGACTTTTTAAGTTTGGGTGCTATAGAGGGAAGAGCAACTTTTTTTATGCTAGATAGGGAATTTTCTCAAGTATTTTAATCATATATATATATATATATATATTCAATGAAAAAAGGCATTAATTAAAGTTACCTTCGTTTTGTTCTAGGTTACTTCTATAATATATGTAAATTACTTTTAGGCTTTATTGAATTTACTTTTATATGTCTAAGAAGTAATTTAGTGAAATCTAAAAGTAATTTATTATTTCTTATCAAAATATAATCATGTGATATCTTGTTATAAAGATTTAATTGCTACGAACACAATGGTGTAATCGGACCGTAGATTAGATGAGTAATATAAGAGAAATTTGTAGATGGATAGTTTCTCTTATAGATGGAGTGGTAGCTGATTTAGACGAACCAGCTACCACTAGCTGTGTAGTCACGTCCGGGTGGGCCGCTCGATGCCGTAACCGCAAGAGGCGGTGAGGGGAAAGCGGCGGAAAGCCAAACGCACGCTCACGGAAACTGGATAGGATCATTGGGCATGTACAATGGTCCAGATGTTTAGATAGGTGCTTAGAAAAAAGTATGTAAGCATCTGTTGAAGAGCCTAAATCTCCAATGAAGAGAATCCATTCCACGGACGCGTAGTTATTTAAGAGTCTATCTAAGCATCTGGGTGCTACAATGGTAGTGAATGAGTCTACCATTTTTTCTTATTTTACTGTCTCATTCTCAACCAGTTTTTAATTTTATTGTCATCTTTATTACAAAGGTGATGTGCTAAAATACTTCCGTGCGTGATCCATATGCTTAAAACAGAGCAAATCTAATTTCTGTACAAAGAACAGAGTAATGCGGAGGATTACTACTGGTGTAGGATCCATTTGGTGTAGGAACCATTGTATGCAAAAGCAAGAAGAAGGTGCAATTCTGTCCCAGCCAAATACCTATATTTATAGAAAAAAATTGGCTTCTACACGGCCATGTATAGTGACCTAATCAAGGTAATGATTAGTTATTAGTTAGTTAGTTAGTTAAACAAGATTAGTTAGTTAGTTCTGTACAGAGCGTCGGCGCTTGCTACGCTCCTCCTTTTTTCGCGCAAGCGCTCCCAAGCGACGACCTCTTCGCTTGCGTGGCGACGGACGACTCGCGTAGCGTCGGCCTGGTAAAAAAAAACCCGGCCATTTTCTCTAAGCATCTATCTAAGTATCCCATTGTACATGGCCTAGGAGCATAGTGCTTCCTGACGACTCCTGAGTTTACCGGATTTTTTTTCTATAAATGCAAGCTGAAATAATTAGTGCATGACGATGAAAATCCTGAAAATCGCGTACTACTATAAATTAGCACTAGCAGATATACTACTGTTCCCTCCGTCCAAAAAAAACAAACCCTGAGTTTCCATATCCAACGTTTGACCGTCCGTATTATTTAAAAAAATATGAAAAAAATTAAAAAGACAACTCACGCATAAAGTATTAATCATGTTTTATCATCTAACAACAATAAAAATACTAATTATAAAAAATTTCATATAAGATGGACAGTCAAACGTTGGACACGGAAACCAGAGTTTGTCTTTTTTTAGGACGAAGGGAGTATGTTAGTATTAAGGAAATTATACATCTATGATTGCTCACATTGCCACCGACGACTAATTTTCAAAAACGCTTTCCAATGGAGATATGAGGGCAGTCCCAACTCTCCGCCTAGGATGGTGTCTATGGCATTAACTATATTGTCATGTAGGACTTTTAGCTTATGTGGCACTATATTAATTAAGAGAGAGAGTGAAGAGAGGAAGAAACTGGGTCTCATGCAAGACACAGCTTCAACACGAGAACCTATGTACTAGACACTATCAAATTTTGCATTGGGAGAGAATAGTGTCTTCATAATAGATGAAGAATAAATATGATTGGTAGAGAAGAGAGATGATGTATTTATTAATGGCACACTTTAAGAAACCATGGGTTGTAGAGTGTAGTTTCTATTGTGATGTCTTATTGACGTGACACCATAGACACTGTTTATGGACAGTATAGATTGGGACTGCCCTGATGCCGGAAGGAAATATCGGACGCATGTTTGTTTGTGTGGGTGGATCCATCTCATGGACCAGGACCCGCTCTGGAGTCCTTGAGGTGTGATGGGTTGATGCATCATGTACAACTTGCCCAGGAACGATAAGTGCTCTAACCAAGACAGGAGTTTCAAGGTTGACATTGATTAACTGATGATGATGCTCGCATAGCATAGAACTGGAGCGAAATGCATTCAAGCAGAAATACTCACCACCGCAATAGATTAGAACCATCTTCAACAAAGTTTTTCAGTTATTCAACAGGATACAACGGTTTAGATAGATATCAGTTTTTCCAAAAACAGGGGAATGATTTGAAACACAACTTTGTGGATGAAATATGAAAAGAAATGTGCAAAACCGACCAAAGGTACTGTAAGAGCAGGTACAATAGCAGGCTATAAGCCGGCTATAACCATATATCAAGAAGAAAAGAGAAGAGAGAGAAGAAAGCGAGCTACAGATTTGTAGCCGGCTGCAACACGGACTCCAAGATATTATATGTGTGTGAGAGGTGAGACCGGGTATTAATGGGGTAGTATATTTTTATAGTTAACTATTGTATGAATGAGCTATTAGATTGGCTATAAATGTTTTGGAGCCAGTAGTTGGCTATACTATTGACCTTGCTCTAACATAGAACCTTTTCTCCCTTTTTTTAAGGCGGGGTGGTGGGATGGGGTCCACTAACGGGTTAATTAGACTCATGGCATTATAATTTTTATAGTTTTGATATATACCATTACTATTCATCCATTTAAAACATTGCTATTACACCCTTGGCTAAATGATCTGGTACTGGCTGATGGGAGCAAATCTGTAAGTGCAAAGCAAATATAAGCAAAGCAGATTGCTAGGAAACAGTTGAAGGGGAGCTTACCTGAGATATGGCAAATTTCAAAGATTTGGAAACTAAATATAGGGAAACTGTTGGAGAAGGGGTTGATTTTTGGGCTTAATATTTTTTGGGATGGTGCCAATCCAAGATTAGGAGTCTAATTTTGGATCACTTTTGGAGATGCTCTTAGAGCATGACAACAGTCTCCTAATATTTGATTCTCAAAAATTCTGAATTTCCTCCCAGAGAGACCTAAAAATTGAATCTTATTATTTGATTGGTTTGCCACATAAGCAAGGTGGGACCACTTGGTAGTTGATCGGCCTCTTCCCCCTCCCCTGTATGGGAGCACGATCCTCCTCTCCCCTGCGCGCGACGACACTGCCATCACCTTATGTCGCCGTTTCCATTGCCATTGATGTTTTCATCAACAATTGGACAATACATTGTACATCAGTCCAACGAGTAATTGAACATGAATGCAACCCGTCAAAAAAAAAAACATGAATGCAAACATGCGGTACTCTTTGGTGTGGGACAGTGAAGAATATATTAATCTAGCTTCTTCTCGTAGAGCAGATAAAAAAACATATTCTTGAAGCTGAAGCTGTAGGTATGTAGCGATATGCAGTAGCTCGCTAGCAACAAGCAGTCAAGCAGCATTTTTCAGCACCAAGCAGCAGCAAAAAGCAAAATTCCAGCAGCATATCAGCAGCAGCAGCCAACTAATCAGCAGTATTATTCCAGCAGCAAACAACAACAGTTTTCAGCAGCAGACAGCAGGAACTAGCAGCAGTTTTCAGCAACCATCAGCAGCATAATCAGATTATAACATCAGCACAAGCATATTTCAGCACATTACAGCATACTTCAGATTACATTTGAGCATATTTCAGCAACAAGGGCACATTTCAGCAATCAACCAGCATCCAGCAATAGTAATCATAATGAATGAATAAAGTAGATCATGCCCAAGATTAAGGAACTAGCCAGTACATGTCAAAAATTAGATCCTCTTTTCATCTCCTTCGCACTACAGTTCTGCAAATCGACAATCTTGCACTGATACATGGGAAATCTTCAGTTATATCATTTCACTGCATTTTTATCTCATTGGAAACAAGCAGGTATATTTCTTGCCTGCATTTAATTCTGAAGAAATTTGCTGTTGCACTGATAGAAAAAGATGCAGACCTCCAAATCTTCATCTAGAAAAACTGAACTAGTGGGGAAAGATGCAGAACTGCATCCCGATTGACACCGATTACTATAATGTCATAGAAATTAGCTTTTCACTAGCATGTGTTTCTAGTACTGGTTGAGTGCTACTACAGAAAATACTGCGCAGATTCTGTACAATGCCATCTGCATAACTGTAGAATTGAAATGCTCAATAGGAACTAAAACATTCACAATGACAATAGATACGTCTGGTGTTAAATGACAAGAGAAAATTTTGGGAACAATCAATCACCTTGGCTGCTGAATGAATCAGCAATGGTCACACCATTGCTTCTATGGACGAACTCCCCTCATCACCAAGACTCCAATTCGTCAACAAACCAATGCCAGCCGAGTCGTGGTCATGGGGAGCCGCGACTGTAGGCATCTCCAAGGGTCGCCGGATGGTTGCCTCCGGCCACTGTCACATGCGCGCCTCCGGACAATGGTGGGTGTCCGAGACTGGGCACGCGTAGCCAACATGATGTACAGGCGTCGGGGCAGCAAGGGGATGGTCGAATCGTGGATGACCTACAGACTACAGTCCTCGGCAGGATGAATCGACGCGGCGGACCACGGAGCTGTTTGGGGGAGCCGCGAAATATCTCCGGCCAGCTGCGTCGAAGACGGGGTCAACGGCAGAACGATTCGAGGCGGTGGAAAGAATGAATTGATGCTTCTGCATCATGGCCTGTTGCAGGAAAGATGCCACCTTCGACGGGGTTGTTCTAGGCGGCGCTGGCGGACGAGCTCGAGACAGACCCGGGCAAGAACATTTTGCCGAGCGCGCGGGAAATCGCTGCGGAGTTGGATTGGGAGCTGGCGCCGATCCCCGACTTGTAGAGACCGAAAAGAACGGGAAATCGCTGTTGGAGGTTAGTTTTCGGCTAATATCACCTAATTTCAGGATTGGAAGTCAAATAGGGGGACTCTTGCTGATGCTCTCAGATGGTAAAAATAGGTGAAAATTGTTTAGCAATCGAGAACCTAAATTTGCAGGACGATAAGCTCAAGAGGTATTACCCTACTCGTAAGGAAAGATGATACATGTAAATTTGATAATCTGATTTTTTTTATTAGCTACTCAAGATATTCAGTACTACGGAAACCAAATGTTACAAAGCAAAGAACCTCAGCATGAACTTTTATAAGGAAATGGGTCAACATTTGCAACGGTAACACCGTAACTAAAGCTTTACACAGTTTGATTTGAGAGCAAAAACTGACCTAATCTATTCCTGGGAATTACATCATGCAGGAACAAACAGTTCAGCACCTACATTGTAGCAAGAAAAAAACAGTATATCGTAAATCTTTCTAATCTGATCTACAAGTTATTCTACAAGACAGATGCATGACATAAGAAGCAACGCAGCACTGAAAGAAACACAACTCATTGATATGATTTCTCTAGGAAACAAATGGCATGGATGACTAAAAATGGCAATGCACAATTTAGAAAAGATCAGCATAACAAAACCATGTGGTCACATCGAATTCTGTATTTGATTATAGTATTTGGGTCTATCAGGACAAAATTTGAAACATACAAAATAACTACACCTTCTTCGCCAGCGTCCTCTGCTTTGTGCCATGTTCAACCACTTTTTCTTCAACATGAAGCCCCTTCCTTCGCCTGACAGAATTCATAAGCTTCTTAGCTAAGTTTGGCCCAATGCTGGAACCATCTCCAAATTCTTCAATCTCCTCATGCGTTTTTGGGATAAAGAAAGGGTCCTCAGGAATAGCTTCCCAGTGGCTAAGAACAAGCAGAGCACTGGCTGCACCAGCTGTTACACTCCTAAGCTCATTAGAAAATCCAACGCTCTCAGCAACTGGTAAGTATGCGTGCACAGTAAATAAAGAAGTTCCCTCTTGCATCTCCTCCTTCAGAACCCTTGCTCGCTTCCTACTAAGAACTGCATATGTCGCACCCAGTTGTTCGGTTGGTGTGGTCAATTCACAGAAGTACATAGCTTCAACTAGCCTTGGTTTGTTCTGAACAACAGCTTCTCGACATGCTTCCTTAACAGCGGTAATTACTTGACCACTGAAGATGTTGTACTGTTCAGAGTGATTTGCAGCATCAGAGTGGTCACAGAATATGTAAGGTTCAACAACAAATACTAGACCCCACATGGGCTCATCACATAGTGGCCCTGCATTTGTTGCTAATTGAAAACCTGATACTATGCAGTTCCTCAGAGCCACAGATTCTAGATGTAATGATTCAGGAGTATCTGCTGATGGTTCACTGTCATCAAGATCATTGTTAGCTTCAGCATCAGATCCACACACAAATCCTAATCTCTCAGAGACATGAGATCTACCACGCACAAGAATGCCTTGCCTTCCATCTTGACTGGTTATCACACTGTCACTTGATTTCACATCAGGCAAGAGAAGGAGGTTTGGACCAACCTGCCAAGGACCGAGTGACCAGATTCTTTGGAGGTATCCAAGCCATGTATTTCTATACCTCTCAAGTTTTTCTTTATCCACTTGCTCAGAAAATGCTTCCAACTCACTGTCTATAGCATTGATCAGGCGTTGCCTAAGTGTTGCAGCAGAATCACCATCATCCTGAGAAAGATGTGGATCCAACACGCCGTTCCTCTTTGCTGTTTTCCCCTCAATTATTTGACCAAGCAATTGTTCACTTTCTTCAAGAACCTTAATGAGCGCATTGGGAAGTCTCAAAACCTGAACTCTCACAGTGCATCTCCCATTTGGAGTAGTTCTCTCAACGAATTCCCGTGGAGCCTTCAGGCTCTCTATCAAGGCAAGGCCTTCGCCTTCAATTGTCTCTTTAAAGGACACCAGGGGGTCTGAGACCACCAATTTGACCTTTGCAAATCTTTCCTCCAAATCCTTTTTACACCTCTCCAAATGTATCTCCCCAGCTGCAGCAAGAACATGCTCACCTCTCTGTGAGACAGTGTACTCAACAAATGGATCTGCCCGGTTAAGAAGTTTAAGCCCTTTAACAAGGGCTCCTAAATCTGCTGGGTTGGAGGGCTCAATTGCAACCTTAAGCATCGGAGACACCTGGAACATCATACTTGAGAAAGGCCAGCAATTTTTGGTGGATGACAATGTGGCGCTCTTCAATATATGATGACCAAGTCCCTGGATTGCAACCACATTCCCAGCACACACACTAGAAACTGGCCTCAGGCCCTGCCCAAGCATCTCATACAAGTATTGCAGCTCCACTTCCTGTACATGCTTCTGCATCGCCTCCCCTTTCATTGGATCATACAGTGGTGACAACACAAATACCTTCTGCCCTGCACGAAGGACCCCACAAAAGACCCTTGCAAATGCCATAAAACACTCCTCAGACTCATTGGCCCCTTGGTGGTTCAACAGCTCCCCATCCACACCCCTGAATGGCAACGTTTTATATGGCACGGCAAACATCTTCGACACATACACCACCACTGGTGCATCTGCTCTCGCATCGCAGGCCTCCACACAGCTCCTGACCCTCTCTGCATCCACAACAATATCAGGGGAACCAGCAGCATCCTCTGGAGCAACCTCCCTCTTTGGCATGAGCCTTGCAACCCTGACCCCTTGAGCTGCAACAGGGTCAGGCGTGCATTCCACCACCATCGTCATCACCGCATCAGCGAGCGGCAGCCAGCGGCTCATCACAGCCTGCAGAACCACCTTCGGGTCCTTGTTCTGCAGCTCTCTTTGCTGAACTTGCAAACTGAAGTTTGTAATGACCTTCTTCACCAACTCACCGTTCTCGCTCAGCACTCCCTGATACGCCTGCCAAAGGGGCTTGAGGACAAACTCCACAAACATCGGCTGCGCGTCGCCGCCCTCCATCCCTTTCTTCCCCACAATCATCTTCTTCTTCTTGTGGAAGTATCGTGGACCCCAAAGCCCTTTCAGCAAGGCATTGGCGTTGATGTTGGGGAGCTTGGCGGCATAGAACTCAGCAAACTGGTGAATGCGGAAGCCCCAGCCATCAAGGGCACAGGCAAAGACAACATTTCCCTTTTGCGGCTGGAAAGCGTCCTCCTCGTCTTCGTCAACGTCCTCGGGGAGCTCGTCCGGCGAGGAAGAGGAGGCGGAGGAAGGTTGGTCCTCGAGGGAGGAGAGGAGGGAGAAGTAGGAGTGGGATCGCAGGGCGGAGTGGATGGAGTTGACGTCGGAGATGATGCGGTGGAGGCGGGTGTAGGCCTCGGCGGGGGTGAGGTGGAGCTCGGAGATGAGGCGGTCGAGCTTGTTGAGGACGAGGCAGGGGCGGAGGCGCTCGAGGAAGGCCTGGCGGAGGGCGGCGTGAGTCTGGATGTGGACGCCCTCGACGGCGTCGACGAGGATGAGCGCCGAGTCGGAGAGCCTCGCGGCGGAGGAGACCTCGGAGCAGAAGTCGATGTGGCCCGGGGAGTCGATGAGGTTGACGCGGTGGCCCCCGTGGTGGAGCACGACGGCGGCGGACTTCATGGTGATGGCGCGGCGCTGCTCCTCGTCGAGGTAGTCCATGAAGCGGAGGCGCCCCGCGAGCCTCGGGTGGACGAGGCCGTCCCCGCAGGAGGCGACGAGGTGGTCGGCCAGCGTCGTCTTGCCGTGGTCGACGTGCGCCAGGATGCACGTGTTGCGTACCCGCCGCGGGTCCGCCGGCGCCGCCATTGCGGTGGCCGTCGGCGGCGGCGGTATTAGGGTTTGGGCTTTCGGGTGGGGGAAAATTTGGGATGGGCGGCGCCGGCGGCGAGACGAAGGTTCCGGAATTTTCAGCTCCTCGGGCCTTTGGGGATTGGGGCTGAACGTGTTAGTGGTGTTGGGCCGGCTGGGCCGTTGGTGTGTACGTAGCGTGCAAGGAGAAATTGGATACTGTGCCAATGCCAAAAGACGGTTTCGCTCAAGTGCCAGTCCGTGAATTGGATTCGTTAAAAGCCACTCCTAATCGATGCCCAAACCGCTGTTTTTCCATATTCGCCATTTCACATAATTTCCATCATTTTTTTGCACTTAGCAGGACCAAAATACCCCTTTGCAACAGAGATGGTGAGGGATGTCGCCATCACTCGAATAGGCTGCGCGGCCAACCAGTGTGTGGTGGCAGATCCGAAGGCGCCCCCCCTCCTCCTCGCCGTCCGGTACAACCTCACCACCATCGCCGCCATCGTCGCCGGCAGTCGGAGCAACTAGATTCACTGATAGAGAGAGGAGGAAGGGAGAGAAGAGGGGAAAGAGCCGGATGAGGAGGAGGTCCTGGCCTCCCGACACCGAGGTGGAGGAGGCGAGCCATTTGCTGTTGCCGTCCCAGAAGAAAGAAGTCAAGCCGACCACAGGGAGGCCCTAACCGCCAATGTCGCCGCCAGTGAGAAGGAGAGCGGCACCGTGGGAGTGATAAGGACATTCTCCACTATTACCAGTTGGCAAAGACGCAAAAGTCGGGCGGTGACCATATGAGCCTCTGAATAATCCCACCTTGCTTAGCTTGGGAGGAGGAAGCCACCTTAAAAGTGAGAGTCACCCTTCCCCTATTGGACTAGTCTTTTAGGGAGGTTGGGCCTTTCCCTCAGTGGGTGTGCCTATGAACTATTGGGGTCCGGGCAACCTTAAGTTATTGGGCCTCGGCCAACCCCACCTGGGCCGGATTGTTATTATTTAGTATCAAAGCTGGCCCTTGTTAAGGGGGGTGGGAATGATCTTTGGTATCAGAGCTGGGCCCTTATTAAGGGGGTGGGAATGATGAGGACATGGCAAAGACACAAAAGTCGAGCGGCGACCGTGTGAGCCTCTGAATTGTATCTTATTAAAGAAATGAAACTCATTATCAAAGGTAGGGATATGAAAAGAGGAATAAGTCGAGCTATAAGAAAAATCCCCGCAGCAACCATAGTTGCTGCGTGTATAAGAGCTGAAATGGGGGTGGGTCCTTCCATAGCATTAATCTGTATCTTATTAAAGAAATGAAACTCATTATCAAAGGTAGGGATATGAAAAGAGGAAGAAGTCGAGCTATAAGAAAAATCCCCGCAGCAACCATAGTTGCTGCGTGTATAAGAGCTGAAATGGGGGTGGGTCCTTCCATAGCATCGGGTAACCATACGTGAAGAGGGAATTGTGCCGATTTCGCAACTGCACCAAGGAATAATAAAAAAAGCACACAAAATAGTAAGCAAGGAGTTAATCTCATTATTAGGAATCCAGTTATTAGCTATTTTAAACAAATCCCGAAACTCTAAACTACCTGTTATCCAAAAAAAACCTAGAATTCTAGAATTCCTAATAACAGACCAAAATCCCCTACACGACTAGTTATAAAAGCTTTTTGACAAGCACTCGCTGCAATTAGCCGTGTAAACCAAAAGCCTATCAATAAATAGGAACACATTCCCACGAGCTCCCAAAAAAAATAAATTTGTATCAAATTGGAACTAGTAACCAATCCCAACATGGAAGTATTGAAAAAACTTATATAAACAAAAAATCTCAAATATCCCTCATCGTGAGACATATAATCATCACTATAAATAAGAACCAGGATTCCTACAGTAGTAATTAGTATTAACATAATAGAAGTAAGCGGGTCAATTAAGTATCCAAATTCTAAGGAAAAATCATTATTAACGGTCCAAGACCATAGATATTGATAGATAGAACTTCCATTTATTTGTTGAATAGACAGGTGAACTGAGAATACCATAGCTATACTTAAAAGTAAAACACTAGGAAAAGCCCATATGCGACGAAGATTTTTTTGTTGCTGTTGGAACAAGAAAAAGTCCAAACCCCATTGACATAATAACTGGAAGTGGGAGAAGAGGGATTACCCATGCATATTGATATGTATGTTCCATAAGAAAAGAAATTGCAATTTTTACTTGAAAATTTTACTTCAATTTTTCTATAAAATTGAAAAAACTTTCTGATTCACCAAACTAATTCTTATCTATTTCTGAAGGAATAAAAAAAATACTATAATTCTTAATTTTTCAAAAATTTTCTCATTGAAACAATCAAAAAAATAAGAATAGGTTTTGTTGGTTAAAGTCAAAAAGTTAATGAAATAACTTCGTTACCTAGTTATTACCTAAAGAAGGACTTTTATTAAAATACAAAAAAAAGATTGAATCATTTTACTTTAATATTTTTTTATTAAAATGAAGCAGCTCCCTTGTTTCGTAACTCAAATTGATTGGAATTCAATTCTGGAATACTTTAATTAACTATTTGATTAAATTTTCCCTTCCTTTTATCCTCCCGTCTTATATGGGGGATAGGCCCCCATACCTTATATCTGTATATGGAGAGTATACTTGAAATATAAATTGATTTAAATAGAAAACCTTTGTATATATTCTATATTATTAAAACAAAGTCTAAAAAAATATATAATATGTTAAAAAACTCTTGTCTTATCCGCATTAGACAAAATGAAGTAAAAAAAGAATTTAGAATTTCAATATCTTTTAGTATCTAAGTATAAATACTAAGAAAAAGAAGAAAGATGGATTGATTTGCGGCAATAGATGTCTTTCACATACAACTAGAAAAAAGTAATTTCCTTTTTGAATGGCAGTTCCAAAAAAACGTACTTCGATGTAAAAAAAAGCGTATTCGTAAAAATCTTTGGAAGAAAAAGACTTATTTTTCCATAGTACAGTCTTATTCTTTAGCAAAATCAAGATCATTTTCTGGTGTCAGCGAGCATCCAAAACCAAAGGGTTTTTCTCGGCAACAAACAAACAAATAATAGGGTTTTGGGATAATATGAATTGACCTATCCCCAAAAAATTCCAATTATTTAATATGAATAATTAGGAATAATTAGGATTAATTAATGAGTTTACTTTTATGTGTCGAATTCCTCGGTACAATATTCTTAGAACAAACCTCTCTGATATATAAAAAAAGGGTTTTTGGTATACTGTGACCTAAATATTCTTTTCCTATCAATGAACTTTTCATAATAGAATCCGTATAATAAATAAAAAAAGGGGATTCTATTATGAAAAGTAGAGTATTCCTGCAATAAGACTTACAACTTCTACCTATCTTATCCTAAATTAACAAAAAAATTAGTTCTATATTGCAACTGAGAAAAAATTGTTCCAACTCTTTCAAAGTTTCTATTGGGCAAAGCAAGAATTTTTTTGTTAAAAAATTCGCAACGATACTACCAAACGAAGTCTATTTTAATGAAGATTCTAATGTCCTAAATTCTATGGAATCTTCCAATCTCGACGATTCGCGAGAAAATAACTTAATATTCTTTTAATAAACCTGTTATTTCAACTTAGCCGCCATGGTGAAATTGGTAGACACGCTGCTCTTAGGAAGCAGTGCTCAAGCATCTCGGTTCGAGTCCGAGTGGCGGCAGTCTCGAAAAAGAATACAATAGATTATAAAATAAAATGGATTCAATTCGAAATTTCCAATTTTGTAATGGGACCTTCTCCTTATGCTATTTGCAACTTTAGAACATATACTAACTCATATTTCTTTCTCAACAATTTCAATTGTGATTACGATTCATTTAATAACCTTATTAGTTCGTGAACTTGGGGGATTGCGTGATTCGTCAGAAAAAGGAATGATAACCACTTTTTTCTGTATAACAGGATTCTTAGTTTCTCATTGGGCTTCTTCGGGTTTATATGAGTCATTGATCTTCCTTTCATGGGCTCTGTATATTCTTCATATGATTCCTAAGATACAAAACTCTAAAAATGATTTAAGCACAATAATACGCCGAGTACTATTTTAACGCAAGGCTTTGCCACGTCGGGTCTTTTAACTAAAATGCATCAATCCACAATACTAGTACCTGCTCTACAATCTCAGTGGTTAATGATGCATGTCAGTATGATGTTACTAAGCTATGCGACTCTTTTGTGCGGATCCTTATTATCTGCCGCTCTTCTAATGATTAGATTTCGAAAGAATTTAGATTTCTTTTCGAAAAAGAAGAAAAATGTTTTGCTTAAAACATTTTTCTTTAATGAGATTGAATATTTCTATGCAAAAAGAAGTGCTTTAAAAGCACCTTTTTTCCTTTATTTCCAAATTATTACAAATATCAATTAATTGAGCGTTTGGATTCTTGGAGTTATCGTGTCATTAGTCTAGGGTTTACCCTTTTAACCATAGGTATTCTTTGTGGAGCAGTATAGGCTAATGAGGCGTGGGGATCCTACTGGAATTGGAATCCTAAAGAAACTTGGGCATTTATTACTTGGACCATATTTGCAATTTATTTACATAGTAGAAAAAATCCAAATTGGAAGGGTACGAAGTCAGCATTTGTAGCTTCCATAGGATTTCTTATAATTTGGATCTGTTATTTTGTTATTTTGGTATCAATCTATTAGGAATAGGTTTACATAGTTATGGTTCATTTACATTACCCATCTAAATGATTACATAACATAAAACCTTAATGAAATGGAAAAAACTTCCATTTTTGTGTTTGATTTGAGAACCCCTGGAACGCCTTCTCAAAGGGTTCTCAAAAATTCGAGATAGATCTAATTAAACTCTTTTACTTTTTTCTGAATTTTTTAGTATTTCCACTATGGAATATAGAGCGGACTAGTAGAAGAAAAAAAATCCTATTTAGGATAATAATTGGATAACAGAGCCTCTACCCTGTCAACGGATAGCGAGAGAACAAAATCTGGATAAATACCGATTCCTATTACTGGTAAAAAGATAGCTTGGGATGTCGTGCCCCTGTCCACGCTGCTCATGGCCGTCGGTGAGGAGGAGAGTGGCGCCGTGGGAGCTAGCCTTGTCGTCGCCGTGCTCCCCGTC